CTGGGCGGTTGGGACAGGTATATATTAATTTTTCTGGGTACAGGTTAGACATTACTTGGACGGTAGGTTAGACAAACTCAAAAAATATTAATACGTGTCCCAACTGCCCAGATAACGATTTACACTTAAAGGTAAGAGTATATGTTGAAAATATAATACATTGAATTTTTATTTAAAAATTATATTAAATAATTTTTAAAAAAATCAAATTAAAATTATTAAAATGAATTGAGGGAGAGGGAGTGCTTAATAGCGTCCATCCTAGCCTAGTCAACCAATAAATGGTTTTGTACGAATATGTAAAGGAATAGCGCGTCATTCATTATTATTGCCTGTCTTTCGCCAACCGAGCACGTGGTTCAATTGATTAGTCTTAGTTTTAGGGTTTGGGTGAGGTGGAGGTCAGGTTTCAAATTTTACCATCATCGTGAACTTCACCAATTTACGACCTAATGGTCGCGCACCTCAAATGAGGGGGTGTAACGTTCACTTTTTTGAAAAAATTCCAACTGCGAACAAACTAACTCTACTAACTTCCTAACCATGTATTTGGTAAAAAAAAAAAAATTATTGCATATCTTTCATTTTTACAAGCTAATAGTAGGCATTAAATTATGCAGTTAGACAAACAAAATATTTTTTAATTTTTTTTATTTAGAGGTGTTTTTAAGTTAATTTTTATATATTTAAAATTTAAATTTTTTAATATTAATTTTAAAAATTATAATAAAATTTAAATTTAAGTTATAAAATGATATTTATTTATCAAAAAATAATAAATCTAACACTTGATATTCCATTTTCCTCTTCTAATTTTTGAGTGTAACCTGTCCCCCAAATATGAATACGAGAGTAGAATCCAGTGGTTTAGTGGTCCATCAGCATACGTCGAAGCGCTTGAAATATAAAGTTAGGAATACAACTACTCCTTATAGTATTTGAAATTTTATTTCTTATTCGCTTATAAATGTTCCTAATTTCGAAAAAAGAATGGAATTGAACCTTCAAGTTTAAGTAGTTCATCTCTAAATTTTAATTCGAGTTTAAGTAGTTCATTTCTAAATTTTAAGACATTTAGATTAGTTAATCAAAATTTTAAATTTCACTAACGTTTTAAAAAATCTTCATCCTTCAATTCCTTAAAATTGTAGATTGTTTAAAAAAAATAAAATAAAATGAATACAAAACTACATTCTATGTACATCTTACAATATTTAAGGTAATCTTAATACCTTTGACCAACCATATAACATAGAGAAGAAGGAGGACTCGCAATATAAAAATCAACACAACTACCTTAAAATAAAAGAAAAAATCGAAGTAGTATTTACCAAGAATAAGGGAAGATGAAGTTTCTGACCATACTACCAGGACTTTGACTATTGATGTCCGTGGTCAATTCTTAAACAACTATGAGTGGAGAGTTATCACTTGTAGTGGATGTCACGCGTTAAAATATTATCCCTACTTCTTTTATTAATATGAGCATATAAGATGTATTTATATATGTTAATAATTTAAATAATTTAATAAT